AGATGTAATAGGGTCCTCAATCGAGTTTTCGGGATTTTCGAGATTTACCGAATTTGAAGGCCAGTATCAGGGTTCATATTTCAGGGGCTCCCAACGACAGTTTCCTCTTAAATACGTTCACTTGGGAAAAACTTTTTGGTTTCAGTATCCAGAGTACTTTTTGACATCTAGAAATGCATTCTAAGCGGAACTATAATATTTGTATCTGTTCGGTCAGCCGTAGGGGAACGCGAGTCTTTTCGAAATTACCAGGGATTCAACGTTTATTTTCGCGAAAATTTTAGATGCAATTTAACGTATTACTAAGAGGATAATTTTTCTAACTCCTCTTTCCATCACATTTTTGAATCCGAAAAATTTTAGGTTTTCTTTTTTCCAAGAAAAGTAACCTAGCCTGAGGAGTGAAATGTGTAAAATTAGAAACTTCAGAAAATCATAGGGGATTCGAACAAGACTGGAATCACGTTAATGATAACTTTGACCTCGATACCGCGGTGAACTCGCTTCACTCCACTTTAGAGAAATTAATGAACGAATGTTTTCCAAGAAAATCGATTCGAATGTCTTCTAGAGACCCTCCGTGGATGAGTCCCTTAGTGAAATCGCTCCTGAAGAAGAAAAAAACAAGATCTCGAAAAGGCGGCGGGAGAGACCTAACTGAACTGGCGGAGAAGATAGGACGAATAATAGCTGAAAATCGCCGAGCTTTAGCGTCTGGGAAACTTGGATCGCGAGCCTGGTGGAGGAAAGTTGATCGACTGTCCATGCGTAAAGACAAGTGCAGCTCCGATCCAGATAAAGATTTCATCATTGGTTTAAATGATTATTTCGGCGACATTTGCTTTGATAGGGAATATTCTAAACCAGTTCCTGCCGAGATTGATGTGAACACCCCTGCTCCACAACTATCTACATTTCAAGTGTTTCTTGCCTTATCGCGAATAAAGCGCACTGCCACCGGACCTGATGGGATTCCTTTCTGGATATGGAAAGATTATGCTGAGATATTTACCCCAGTGATTGAGAATTTATGGAACTTATCTCTTGCTCGGCAGATCTGGCCAAGTCGTTGGAAGGAGGCTAACATCAATCCACTCCCCAAAGTCGAGACACCAGTCGATTATGCCGACTTTAGAGGAATCAATGTTACTCCAGTTATTGCCAGAACGTTTGAAAGAATGGTGTATAACATTTTTAACAAGAGGTGCCTGGAGGAATATCTGAATAATTCTCAATTTGCTTACCGCTCAGGTGGAAGTTGTGTAAACGCTCTGTTGAAAATGCAACATACATTTCTTGCGGCACTGGATAAACGGGACACCGTGGCGGTGAGAATGTTTACGATGGATTTCTCTAAAGCTCTGATAACGTTAAACACAATCTTCTAGTTGAAAAGCTGAAACATAGTCCACTTGATTCATTCATTGTTAACTGGTATGCCAACTTTCTCGAAGGTAGAAAACAAAGGGTGATTTTTAATAATTTGACATGCCAGTGGAAAATTGTTAACAAGGGAAAAACACAGGGAAGTGTCAGTGGCCCACATCTTTTCAACATATTTTTGAATGACCTAGAGATAGATGGATACAAAGATATATCCTTGTTTAAATATGCAGACGATTCAACCGTCTTAGTCACGATTACTACAGATTCCCCGGATATATCTGATATTGCCTTGTCCAAGTTTATGGATTGGACTGTTGCAAATGACATGCATTGTAACACTAGTAAATGTAAAGAGCTAATTATGCGTAAGAGAGGCAATTCAACAGTCTACCCAATGTCTCACAATATCAAACAATATAAAAACATTTCATTATTAGGCGTCACAATTCAAGGTAATTGTAAGTTTGGCTTGCATGTCAAGGCCAAGCTCCATGAAGCCAACAAGTGTTTATTTGTCATCAGAAGCCTACGCAAAGAAGGATATACACAAGATGAAATAGACCACCTCTGTAATTCAATTGTGATCCCTAAGTTATTATACGGTCTTTCAGTTTATGCTGCAAGTGTTTCCGAACTTACTGTTATACAAAGGTTTGTAAAAAGATGTTATAAGAGGCGTTATACGTCGGTCAATTACAACATATATGAACTTTTGGAGAAAAGCGACAGACGCCTTTTTTATAACCTCAAACGCGATGACCATCCACTAAAAAGCTTGCTCCCAAGGTACAAAGACTGTATTGTAAACCTTCGAAGGATATCCGTTGTCAGGCCCAGCATTAACACTGAACGTTTCAAAGATAGTTTTTTTAATAGATTAATTTTTAAATATAATCTAGCTGTGTAAATACCCCATATGCATTTTTAATCAATTTAATCTTTTTTATTCATCTTGTCATTGTAATTTTTTCTATCGATATATATTTTTACTGTAACATCAGATATGTGATTTTATCGGATGCTTTTAATAAAGACGTTATTATTATTATTATTATTATTATTATTATTATTATTTGATGAGCTTCGAAATTTTACATGAATAGAACGGTCATCTAGAAATGTTTAGCCGTCCTCAAATAATAGAAAATTCTAGGCAATATTTGCGTCTCCGAACAGATATTTTACAGAAAACAGTGATTGGGTGCCTCTGGTATTAGGAGAGGAGATTATGCATTTAACGCATGCACGGAATCTGTCGAGTGGGTTGTCGAAAATATTTATCGGGATTACGGGTTTAGACGACGAATTTGGGTCGGGATTACGGGATTAAAGAGACCCTACTGGGGACCCTGATGTAGCAACTTCAGAATTGAAATTGCTCAGGTAAAGAAAAATTCAGTTTATGTAAAAAGTTTCCCACTTTGTTAACGAAATATGGCTCCTGCCACTTAGTGAACTCTGGCATTTGAAAATGAACATTTATTAGAGCGCTGTCGATTATTTTCAGTTGTATTATTAAAGGATTATTCTCAACAAACAAGCTTAAAGACATTTTAAGAGGGTTTTCGCTAAGGTTTAAGTCAGTTTCTCGATGAGCCTTCGGTGTTGTTTAATTCTAACAAAGGAATATTCAATATTGATTAACATGTAATTCAGTTTTTATAGAATAATCCAGTTTGGGGGGTAACTGTTTTTTAATGTTGGTAGTTTTATGGTTTTTTATTATACCCTATATTTTGTGAAAGGTTATTGTGCACTCGGCATAAGCAAGGCCTTCTAAGTTTTAGCTACTTCGCGTGTTTTTAATTGTATTACGCTCTCAAATTACAGAGGCTCAATGAATATTGTTTACATACACCTGCTTTCTTTAAAGATAACGATATTAATAATAGTAGGTTTTTATGGCCCATTTAAAGAATTATCAATGCCCTTACAATAGTAAATAAAGTCTAAATTAAACTATATATAGTAATTATTCCTAAAAAGAAAAGGTTTCAAACGTTGCTTAAAAGTAGAAACAGATTCAAGTTTTTGATGCATAATATGAAAATGAGCGGTGTACATTAGCCACGGTAACTAATGTACAACCTGATAATTTTTTCATGACCAAAAGGGGGACATGAAGTCATCAGTCACGTTATCAAAGCGTGTTAATGTTTTAGTTCCTTTTTAAAGTACCTTATTTGTCATAAATTGGCACGTTTTTGCTGTTTTTCTCAACAATTCTTTACACTGTATTGTCTCTGAGTAATTATTATTCCATTTTCAGAGCAGAACCAAACGAAATCTGAACCAGAAGTTTAAAAGTTGAGTATTAAAAATTTGACCGATATTGCAAGTTAAAATCGAAAAGGAGACCTACTCTTGAGACTTTTGTGAAATACTTTTTCAACTTGAATGTTTGTTTGCCGAAATAAATAGATAAAAAAAAAATAAATAAATAAAAAGAGCGATTAATGTCCATCTATCCATTTCAATAAAAGGAAATGAAATCACTTCTCACTATAGCGGACAATCTCGAAGCGTGACTTCGTCGAATAAATATGCGGCACCGAAGAAAGACGAAAAAGCTAACCCTTTTTGATCAAATTATTTTAAGGTTTAAACTCGAGGCTTTATATGGCGTAAAAAAGTTATAATTCACTTTTACCAGTATCACTTGTAATAATGATAATAATAATAACAATAGTAATAATAATAATAATAACAATAATAATAATAATACAATCATCATCATAATAATCAATAATAATCATAATAAAAATAATCATCATGTCTTTGCGTAGGTTTTACGCAGTATAAGAATTTTATAATATTCTGAATTGTCTTTTTTAAGTAGAGAGATTCATATAATTATGTATATTAGGATTGTACTAGGTTTCGTACCGAACTTTTTTTACTTCTAAGTATAGCTTTTCAAGTGGTGTAGGTTACGTTATGCGCCCTATACTACTCAAAATGTGGACAGCATTCCAAAGTTTTATACTGCGAGATAATAATAATAATAATAATAATATGATAATAATAATAATAATAATAATAATAATAATAATAATAATAATAACAATACGCAGCTGGTTCGGGAGTTTGAAGAGCACACCCCTCAATCAAAGGCCACCAGTCGTTGGTAAAGGAGGCTCAAGTTATGCAAATGAGATGAGGATCTCCTTAAACCTTACTCATCCCCAGCCCTTGTGGAAGGACAGGGGCGGGATTGATGTTTCTGGTGAAAAGGGGGGTCAAGATAAGATCCGATACGAGAAATGGCAAGGAATTAAGGCTACTCACGGCCAGAGAAGAAGACCAAAGTTTAGATAGAAAGGCGTGTTTTGCGTGGTTATGGGAGTGGTCTGAGTGCCCTTCTTACATGGTAGCAGGAGTGTATGAACTCTACGAGCAGTTTCTACCGACTAAGCTCTACACTAGCAAAAAGAAAAAAAACACTTCGCCTGTCGATGTGATGTGTTGGTTATAAGGGAAGTGCACAGGAAGCAAATACCTAGAAAGGCTTAACTCAGCCTTTAAGGTGCTATTTTTTGAGCTTCTACGAGATCTAAAGCTAATTGACAGTGTTCCACCTTGGTACTCCCCAGTGCAGTCAAAAAGCACTCTACGAGAGCGAGGAAGTGCAGGCCTACTGGGATATTCCCGTGTTTGTGGAATATAATAAAGTTAGGGCCAAAAGAATGCACGCAAGGATAGTAGATCATCAAGCGAAGACAGTGACAACTCTGGAAATGAGTTGCCCTTGGATCCAGAATCGAGAGAAGAAAGACGAGGAGAAGGTGTTGAAGTATGGTCCCCTATACAAGATGACACAATATAACATCATAATATATATCTTGGGAGGATGGTCTAGTTCTGTGGAGGGGTCCCTTAGCCAATTATTAGGAAACAGGGTGCAAAGAGGCGTTAAAGAGAATGCGGAGACCTATCATCTCGAGTAGTTTAAACATTGCTTGGACTTTTAAAGTTGTTGGAACATAGTACAAACCTCATTTTAATCATGAAGGACATGTATATACCTTTTTAATCTTATGAACGGGGGTAAAGGAAATCTAGAGACTTGGACATTTAGCATTACTAGTTGTAGAATGTTCTTAAATTTATCGTTTTACCATTTTGTCTGTTTATTTATATATACTTGTAATTATTATTATTATTATCATTATTATTACATATTTTTTCTGAGGCTGTTCCTTAGTGCCCCAGGGTCACGTCCGACGCCCCTTGTGGTTGTTGCTATATGACACCCATACTGTCATAATATTAATAATATTAAATAATAATAATAATAATAATAATAATAATAATAATAATAATAATAAACGTAAGATAAAATAGAATAAACAAGAAAATGTGAAAAAGAAAATTGAGAAGGGAGGATTCTGTGTTAAAATTCATGTACGGATTTGTCATGAAGCAAGCATGTCCTGCGGCTTTTTTTGACATAAAGGTAAAACGATGAGTCAGGTAAAATCGTTTACAACTAAACCTACAACTTATTTCCAAATATGCACTAGGCACGCGGAGGAGTAAACCCATGTCAAATACTATTACATTGCTTGTATCCTGGCAAGTTGCTGTTCGTTTGGTACATTACGTCTGTCTCTGCAACATAGGCAAGGTCCACAAGTTAAACAGGCGAACAGGTTTCGCAGAGCAGTCGAGAATCGTGAACTATAAGCAAAAAGTATTATGGGATTAACTATTGTGCTTAAGGAGGGAAAAATGTAGAAAAACAAACTAACAAAAATCAGGCATGAATCTTGAGTGAAACGCGAAGATGGAAATAGCTTTTGGAGTACAATTTCTACGCAAAGTGGCGTCCAGCAGATGAAAAAGGCACTCACAATCCATACAAACACTTTCATGACAGTTTTGTTCTGTTGCATGTTTCTCATTCTTATGCGTTCCTCTTCTTCAGCCTCTACTGGTCTTGTTTGTCTCAAGCATTTCATGATTCGTGAATAGAGGATAATTGTCGAAATAAGTGGAGCACAGTAGAATATTGCAAATCCTCCTACGTAAAAGATAAATTGCTCCTTCTTGCCCCAAGAAGCGAAACTCCGACAAAACGTTTGATGATTTTCTTGAATAATTTGACTTGACGATGCATATGGTGAAGCTATTGATAGCGCAAACACCCAAGTGAATAATTGGAGAGCAGTTCTGAGTCTCGCTGTGACTAAAATAGACTTAAACGGGAGCACGATAGCTATGTATCTGTCTACAACGATTAGTAACAGGCTTTGAACTGAGACAGCCTGAGACACAGCTCTGAAATAAAGGCCCAGTTTACAAACAAAGACAGCCGTTGAGCCGTCTATCGCAGGTTTGCTGTATTGGACTCCTTCAGTTGCATAGAGGGGCCAATTTGTGGAGGATGACAGAAGATCAGAAATCGCCATGTTGACTATGAAATAGTTCGTGCTCGTCTTTAGGGTGGGGCTTCGTAGAAAAGTTAGTATCACCAGGGTGTTGCCGAAGAATGCCACAATACTAACAATTGAAATAGTAGATGTAAGTATTGTGGAATCTAAGGAAGAACATTCCGAAAGGTGCTCAAAACCATAGGAACTGGAGTTATTCATGCTTCCTTTCTGGTTTATGACCGTCCGCTGGCCACTGGTCAGGATGACTTCCCTCTTATGTTTCTATGAAACGATCGACCTGTAAACGAAGAAGGTGGTTGATGAGCTTTTGAATCTTCTAATCACCTTGAATCAAAACGTGTTTCATGATGGAAGTATTTGATTCAACAAAGAAAAACAAATAACAACTCTTGATGCCTGATACTTGGAGGGAAATAAAATAATGCTGGATTTATCCGGCTTCATGTGATAATGTGCAATACCGCGCTGAAATAATATACAAGCAACTATTTTAATCCCTCCACGTATCAGGAATCAATAGTTTCTACTTTCTTTTCCTTGTTGAATCAAATGCTTCTGTCATCCGGTTGAAGGACGTTTGAAACTCAAGGTGATTAGAAGATTCAGAAGCTTATAACTGATAAGCTTCTGAATCTTCTAATCACCTTGAGTTTCAAACGTCCTTCAAGCTTCTGATAAGCTTCAATCTGAATCTTTTTCTCCTCCTTGAGTCAAGGAGGGGAAAATGTAGAACTAACAAAAATTATGCATGAATCTTTAGTAAAACGCGAAGGTGTAAATAGCTTTTGGAGTACAATTTGTAGGCAAAGTGGTGTCCAACAGGTGAAAAGGGCACTCACCGTGAATCCATACAAACACTTTCTTAACAGTTTTGTTCTGTTGCATGTTTCTCGTTCTTGTACATAATATACAAAACCGCGCTTAATAATATATATCAAGCAATATCTAAAAACCTTGCCATTTCTTTTTTTCCGCTCCTTTACTGGTTGCAAGTTATGCAATTACAATAATTTATTTAAAATTATTTAAAATTATCTATACTTTTAAGTTTTTAAGTATGTGACTAGTAGTGCAGCTGAACAATTACCTCTTTAGAAATTTTCATTCTGATAGGGTTTTTACTGAGTTTTTTGGTACATCATGTCTTAATTTTCGAGTTGCTGTCCCCTTAGGCTACTGATATGTGACTACATTTTTCACAGTCCTTAACGCACAATCATTAATCCCATAACCGTGACAATGTTGGTCCCTAGCGTACGATTCTCAAGCCCATTGAGCGACGAAAAATGCTTTTAGTTTGTTGTTTTAATTGTTAACCATGCCTTTGTTGAAGAAACAGACGTTAACCAAAAAGCAATTTGTGAGAAGGCACTTTAATATTTACTATATAATGCGATAGATTAGAATATCTACTTGATGCAACTCATGTTGGAGCGAGCCTTCTCCTTCTAGTTAGAAAAGGTCGCACAACTATCTAATTTTAGAAAGCAGGACTTTGGCAATTTCGGTAGATATGTTTATCTGGATTTTTTTATTTCCTACATCCTTTCAGCCGGAAAGTGTAAATACTAAGTTGTATGAACTTACAAGAACGTTGATGGATGACCCTAAAACAAATACAAATGATTTCAATATTGACTTGTTTTAAAATTGATAAGTTATAAAGTAAATTCAAGTCACGTTTTAAGCCTGGTAATTAATAAACGTCCTTTTTTAGAGCAGCTTTATATGAAAGAGTTTTGAATTAGAGAAAATAAATCGTGTAGTGACGGATACATTTCATGTGGCATTTTTGCCAGTTTGATACTCGCTCACTAAAAATGGTGCAACTGTCCGACACCCGTTCAATAGAAATTACATTTCCTCACATTACACAGGGCAAATGTCCCAATCAAGACCAAAAAATCAATGAGATTGGAGCGAAATGTTGCCTTTAGCAAGCGTCATGATTATGTATACCTGATAGGTTTTACTGCAGTCACACCTTTAAATCTTATTTATGTCATTACTTTGGTGAGTTCGTCATTACATAAGAGCTTTCGGAACTATTTCGGGTTTACGATCGATATTAGTAGGATTCTCAGGTGGTATTCTCACTTGAACTCCTTCAGAGCATTTTAGTATTGCAGACATAACAGGGTCCTCAATAGATTTTTCGGGATTTACGAGATTTACCTTATTTGAAGGCCAGGATTAGGGTTCATATTTGAGGGAGAGATTCTGCATTGAACGCATGCACGAGATCCGAGTGGGATGTCGAAAATAAGTATGATCGGGATTACGTGATTGGTCAAAAATTTGGGTCGGGATCAGATGAGGGGATGTTCTATTGGAGACCCTGATGTAACAACACAAAGAATTCTACCAAGAACTGAAATTGCTCAGCTAAAGAAAATTCAATTTCTGTAAAAAGTTTTGCACTTTGTTAAGGAAATATCATATTAGCGACATGAACTCTTACTAGCATTTCAAAAGGGAAATTAGCGTGCACGCAAATTCAATTTCCAAGTGTACTTCGATTATTTTCAACTGTATTATTAAAGGATGATTCTCAACAAACAAGTTTAAAGACATTTTAAATGGGCTTTTTGGCTAAGGGTTAAGGCAGTTTCTCGATGAACCTCTGGTGTTGTTTAACTCTAACAAAAGAATATTCAACATTGATTAAAATATAGTTTTTACAGAATAATCGAGTTTTGGGGAGTGACTGTTTTTTTTACGTTTGGTTTAATATTGTGAGTTTTTATAGTTTTATCACACCTTATTGTGAAAGGTTATTTTACCGGCACTCGGCATAAGGAAGGCCTCCTACGTTTCAGTTACTTTGCGTGTTTTTAATTCTATTACGTTCTAAAATTACAGAGTCTTAATGAATATTGTTTGCATGGATACACCTGCTTTCTTTAAAGATATATGCAAGTCTGGATATTTGAAAAGCCTGTTTCCTTTGATAACAGCGCGCGAATCCAAGTTTGAAAAATTATAATTAAGTCAGCGTGAGAATTAGTGGAAGAAGTGGCCTTGCTACTGACTGAAACGATTGTTTTCGCTAAATATTTTCGTCTTTAAAATGAGTAATGATAGGGTTCGTCTAATCTTAATCAAGTATACAATAGGTGCTTCAGGTCACACATACCTTCGTGCTGTTAAAACTCCTTAGGAAACCCTCTTTAATTCAGGGCTAAACATGATTTGTATTATTTGGAATAATCCTCGTGTACCGAGCACAATGTAGAAAAAGGAACAATTTAAAAAGAGCTGTCATCGAATTTTCTTTACGTGCGAAGAGTAGGCCGGTAGATTAGTAATACGTGATACAATTGGACGTCGCGTAAATTCGTCATTCGGGGAGTATAAAAGTAATTAAAATGAAACATTATTGACATTTTGGTAACTACAAAATAACAAAGGGAGTATAATATCAGAAATAGTTTTTTTTATAGAATCAGTTCAAACTGACACGAAAGCCTTAAAGTTCGTATTTTAAATGTATGCAATTTAATTTCATTAATACTTCTTATTGGCTGGACAAGACAGGCGTTAGTAGCCCGAGAACAGATAATCATGGGTTAAAGGAAAAATATTAATATATTATACATTCTGTAAAATCAACAACATGAGAAGCTTAAGGAAAACATTTATAACATAACATAACATAAACTTTATTTATACTCGAATTTTAGAGTAGCTAACAAAGCTAATATCTTCGACGAGTTGACACTACATGAAAATAATATAGAAATATATATTATATATGTACATTAAATGGAATTATAAGTAATAATAATAAAATAGTATTAATAATAATAATAAGAACATAAAAGAAAAGAAAAGAAAATATTATTTGCAATTTA